GAAGGTTATCAGTTTTCGCTTCACGTCTATCCAGACCTCAATGACGATGCCTGCGCTAGTCGACATGTCGTAGGTGAAAACTTTTTTCCTTGATTTCCCGAATATGTTTCGAAACTTCTGAAATGTTACGTTTGGGAGCAGTATCTTTTCGATTGTTATATCATCCCCATCATTATTTTTCCCTAAACTACGATTTTTTGAAGAATTTTAGAGTGAGAGCTTTGCTTCTTTCTAAATATCTTTTGGTATTGCTTTGGTTTTGCGATGGACTTTCCTATACAAAACCTTATCTCTTTCTCCTCCAGTCATTCAGATTTATGCATACGCTTCATATTGGTTCTTTCAGAACATTTTCTTTTGTCCAGTTAGCCGTATAGCCTTACATTTTTGTATGGCATTTTACTGTGTTTGTTCAATTTAGGACCCTGCAATGTCTGCTCAAGACGAAAAACGTGAACTCGAATCTGGTCTTTCCACATCTACAACAAGAAGACCACAGCGAAACTTCTTTGGACCATCCAATATCTCAAACAAGGAGCAAGGGTCTTCTCCAAATCATCTCAACAATAGAAATCGACGAAACAGCGACCAAAGACCTCATCCTCTTGACAGTGAAGTGAAAAATGGGGCTGTTAAAATTGGAAGCGCCCCAAAGAAAAAATTTCGGCAAAGAGTCACGAGTGATCAGGAGTTGAACCAAGATCCACAGCTGACTCCTCTAGGAAACTCTACTCCTCTGCAAACTGGCTCTGTTCCTCAAACACCAGTTGCTGTGTCAGACATACAAAAGGGACGTATGTCTTATTCCAATACGTAAGTTCTCACTATGAAAGATTTCCCAAGAACTTAGAGCACTTATTGATTTGGAGAACACCAAGGCAACAACCCAATTCTGTTCAACGAACTCGAAAAATCACAATTTTCAAGCCATATCTGGACGAGGACAGAGTTCAGCAAGGCTTACAGAAAAGTCTTTTTTTAAAGGTGATCAGTAGCATTTTTTTAAATGTATTTATAGCGTTCATTTTACAGGGAGTTATTCGAATAAATCAACGCAAATATGAGGAGGCTTTCATCAATAATCCAGCTGGAAGTGATCAAGCTGATATCGCAATTTTGGGCATGCCAGATCGAAATCGCGCCTTGCATGGTGATGTTGTTGCTGTTTGTGTGAGGCCAAGGGCATTTTGGGTGGTAAGCTTTTGCATCTGCATTTGGTAAGAAGGGGATTTATTGACATTCTTAGGTCAATGAAGAGCTCTACAAGGATTGGAAGAAGGGAGCTTTGCAAAAGACAAGTGCAGTTGAGAATGAGGTATGCTCTCCAGGTTTCATCCCAAGA